CCTCACAGCAGGAAGTTGAATAAGGCTTGGTAGAGTCACTTCCTTTCACTGGAGAAAACCAGAAGCCAGAGCACCAAACCCACCAGGCATGCTTCCCCTGTAGCACCCGAGGCTGCGGCCTTCTGACAGGAACAGGATCCGGGGAGAGAAGTCCTGCCTTACAAGGAGGGAGGACACCAAGAAAGGGGAAATTCCTCCTGGTCTGCTTGCATCTTGGAATTAGGAGAAATTACATGCGTATTCTCTAAATGGAGAAAGTTATAGCCAGGTTACGGACGATTTTAACCCAGAACAGACATCTCTATGCCATGAAATGTAGAAAAAACCTCAGGGACATTACTGAAGGTGGGTAAAGCAAGAGCAATCATTTCCCTCCAACAGACACACTCTCAGAAGGCACAGCTCTCTCTCAGCTGTGCTGTCAGAAAATGCATTCAACCATATAGCAAAGAAAAGAGAAAAACCAAACCAGTGCGAGCCACCCGTGATTTCACATTGCAAATATGGAGATACTAAACACTCTCTTCTTTAAGAACTAGTTGTTTGGAATTTAGCAATATGGGGAACATATTGGATGATGGAGGACAAAAGTCCTCAAGAATCATTTTGGTGTCAAATTTTGAGCTGAAACTTAAACTCTGCATCAGTTTTGGCCATATTCAATCAGTTTTGAACCCTTCACCCTCCAAAGACTTCCCTCTTTCACTGTCACCCTCAGTTAGGAACCAGAAGACGGGCCTGGGGGAAATACTCTGTCACCCACAACTGGAGGTCTCAAAAAAGAAGAAAAAGAGGAGGTACAGAAGATGGAGAGCTGAATGTCTGGCATCCTGGTCCACCCAGCTGCCTGGGGCTATGTACCCCTTGTCTGATCAACCCCAAATGGACGGTTAGGGTGGATTCAATATTTTAAAGTTAAATTTAGTCAAGTGCTGTTCTGTTGGAGTTGCAAGCTATAGCACATTTCTTTAATCAGCCCATGAAGAAAGCACTGGGATTTTTTTTTTTTTAATGGTCTCATTTCGTATAATGATGTGAAGGCTTACTAAAGATAAATTGAAGGGAGGCGGTACGTATAGAGTAAGTGAGGATGTGCTCCTGATGGGAAAGGACCTGCCAGAAGGAAATCCCAGAGGAGACAAAATAAGACCTGCACCTTCAGTCTGTGTGCTCACACCTGCTGGCCCTGATTGTACAAACAGAGAGAGATTAAACTCTGAACCTAGTGTGTTGGACATGACCTCTGCTTAAGAAAGTTAAATGTAGTCTCTTGCTAGTGGGGAGGCAGAGAAAAAAAACAGTGGAAGTTACCATGGGGAGACTAGAGAGTCAATGAATGCTTCTGCTGTGTAAAGAAAGCCCTAGAAATCTGGGTAGGTAATTAGCAGCTAAGAGCTTTAAATAAGGCCTGGAGCAGGACTAAGATAGAGAACAATTAAAGGCTTTTCTCAACATAGAAAGAATTGAATTTTAATTCTAAAATAGGATTGATAATGTTGAATTTAGTGAAAATGGTCAATACCTAGACATATCTTTTCATATTCCTTTAAAATGTATTGTAATTTGGATATGATTTTGAGATTAATAAAACATGTGTTATAATTATAAATGAAACATTATACTCACCTGGAAGAGAATGAAAGATTGTAGTGTATATTTTCAATAATAATACCTAGGGAAAGATGCTCTATGAAACCATGCACCTCTCAAGGAACAATGCTGGGCATCCACTAATATTTGTTCACTGGGTCATTCTTCATTGGGCATATCCTATGAGCTGGACCTTGGCAACTATGATCTAGAAGTGGACAGAACCTGACATCTGCTTTCAAGGACTCATGCATAATGGGAGTGAGAAATTAAGAAAGTACATGGCCAACACAAGGGAAAATTTCTGTAATGAAACCGCTACATGATGCAGTGAGATCACCTCACTGCATAGAAGGGCTAGAGTCTCGGATCATGACATAGTGATGGTGATGCTTGAGTTCAATGTTAGAGTGCCCTAGTGGCCAAGGACAAAGAATAACATTCCAGGGGGAGGGAATGCTTAGCTTATGCAAAGCACAGATCCCTGAAAAAGCATGGTGTGGGGGGAAAGCTACAAGTAGTTTCGCATGGTTAGTGTACAGGGGGCTTGTGAGAAGTTGGTTGTGGGGTGGCTAGGGAGAAGTGAGGCTAGGGAGGCAGGCCTGAATCAGATCCACAAGAGGCTAAGCTAGAATAATAAGATGGGCTAGATGGGTGATGGGTAGTAAGGAGGGCACTTGTGATGAGCACTGGCTGTTGTATGTAAGTGATAAATCACTGAATTCTACTCCTGAAACCAATATTGCACTGTAAGTTAACTAACTAAAATTAAAACAAAGAAAACAAAAAGCAGAAGGGGCCTAGGAGGGGGACTCTGAAGGGTTTTTTAAGTAGGGGAGGGGCAGGAACAGATTTCCACACAAGGAAGATTCCTCTGCTCAGCCTTTCAGAAGCGGGCTGGGACTGTAGCAGGAGGAGGCCAAAGGCAGGGGCCTCAAGAAATGAGACACCTGACCTAAGGCAGTCCAGATCCAGTAAAGCTGAGCAGTATTTGCAAGTTAGATCAATACAACTTGGAGACCAATGGGGAGTAGTGGGTGAAGGGCAAGAAGAAGCCAAGGATGACTACCAGATGCTGCTTGGACAGCTCCATGAACTGGTGGGTGGAAGAGAGAACTAAGTCAGGGAAGGCAGAGATGAGAGTGGGTCTGTGGAGAGTTTTAGATGTGCTGAATTTGAGATTCTGTGCCCTCAGGTGAATGGCTGGAAGTAACAGGATTCCCGCCAGGGCCTGACCAGCTGCTTTACCCCAAGCATGCAACAGACCATCTCCAATCCTCACCTGTGAGCAAACAAGTTCCTAGATGATAAGCAACCTGCCCAAGGACACAAAATAAGTGAGGATGGGGCTGGGACAGGCACTCAGGTTTTAGTTTCCAAGGCCCTTCCCACTATAGTTATCAGCCATGTCTGCACATTACAACCAGCAGGGGAGCTTTTAGAAAAGCCCATCCCGGGTTCCACTCTCAGACACTACCATCCTGATGTCAGAGGATAGGAATGTTGTGGGGTGGAGAGGGAGATACGAGGTCCTTAGTGTAAATGGAGTCGTGAAAGCAAGGGATGTGGGTGAAATGAGTGAGGCAGGGAAGAAATCCAGAGGGAGGAGCCATGACAGGCCTCAAGAGATGGAGGGGTGGTTGACAGTGGTAAATAGACTGAAACAGCCCACACACTCAGTGTGAGCATGTGAGAGGTCTTGAGTGGCCGCTGTGGGAATAGCTTCACACAGGGGTAAGGGAGGGAGCCAATACCCAAGGCTAAGGAGGGGGAAGAGGAGGCAAGAGAGAGGAGACATCAGCCCATGAGACTGCCACATAGAGAGCAGCTGTGAAGGGAGGGAGCATGTCAGGTCACATGGCAGAACTAAGGGAGCTCTATGGATTTAGGACCGGGTGTGTGAATGCATGCACGTTAGGGGAGGCAAAGTTGGGTTTTTGCTGAGGTGAAGGAATCAGGAGAGGAGCTAGGGAGATAGGAGAGAATCCAGGATAACTGATGGAGCAAGGACTGGGTAGTGGGGAAGGCCTCTGGAGTCTGGTGGGCAGGTCAGCCTTGGACAAGAGAAGGGATTTTGACATCAGGGAGAAAGAAGTTTCCACAAGCCTAGAGGTGGAGGAAAAGGAGTGGAGGAGAGACACCTGATGGTTTCTGCTTATGAAGTACAAGGTGATGCCATCAGGAGAATGAAGGTTGGCACCCATGACAACCCACAAACTCCACAGTGAAGTTGGAGGGTGTTTTCATGATCCCTTTCCCTAACCCTTGCTCCTTCCCTCACCCTTCATCTCCAAAGTCATGGCTCCGACTCCAACTGTGATGCCCCTCATCGGCCCCAAGGACTTGGGTTTTTGCCTGCTTTCTAGGCCTGCATTTCTTCTTACTGACTTTAACCTATCTTTCCAGCTTTTATTTTTTTTTTATTTTTTTTTTTAAACCTAAACTATTTATTTATTTTTTTTTTCAACGTTTATTTATTTTTGGGACAGAGAGAGACAGAGCATGAACGGGGGAGGGGCAGAGAGAGAGGGAGACACAGAATCGGAAACAGGCTCCAGGCTCTGAGCCATCAGCCCAGAGCCCGACGCGGGGCTCAAACCCACGGACCGCGAGATCGTGACCTGGCTGAAGTCGGACGCTTAACCGACTGCGCCACCCAGGCGCCCCATATCTTTCCAGCTTTTAACGATACTATTTCCTCAGACGAAAATGGATTCACCCCACTGTAGCCCCTGGAAACTGCCACTTACCCACTCACCCATGCTCACCTGGGCACAGGGCACCAGGGCCAACACCTTACTCTCACTCTCCAGCAAGGGGAGAGGCAGATGGTCCTAACTGAAACTTAATCTAACCTTTGCTTTAGAGTGAGACTTCGTTAGAAGGCTTTGAACCCTTACAAATAAAAGGGGAATAATTTCTTCATGCCCATGACAGGATTGAATACTTTTCTGAGGAGTCAGTAAAATTTGAGATTAGAAGCAGACAGACAAATAATCAGCAAGTAAGAGGTGTGATGTTGAAGGAATAATAATCATAAAACCACATTTTAGGGGTACCTAGGTGCCTCAGTTGGTTAAGTGTCCGACTTTGGCTCAGGTCATGATCATGCGGTCTGTGAGTTCGAGCCCCGTGTTGGGCTCTACGCTGGCAGCTCGGAGCCTGAAGCCTGTTTTGGATTCTGTGTCTCCCTCTCTCTGCCCCTCCCCTGCTCGCGCTCTGTCTCTCTCTCTCAAAAGTAAACAAACATTAAAACAAAAACAAAATAACCACATTTTAAGCAGGAGGTCCTCCACTTCTGCTTTTCTCCCCAAGTATTTATAGAGATCATGAATCCCAACCCAGAAACAGATTAAAGGTGCAAAGATATAAATAAAATTCAGGGAGTATAAAAAGTTGGGTCTACTTACACTTTTGGATCCTCCTGAATTGGGGGTGATTTTATATGAGAGCAAGAGAGAGCATACTTGTTCTGGCTGATCTTAATAAGTGCACTCCGAGGGCAAAATTCCTGTAATAATGCCAAAAGGGTTCACACAACTTAAGTCAGAAATGTCCACAATTTAGATGTAATTTTGTTTAGCTCAACCCATTATAAGAGCTGCTAGCCACTCTCCTATTCAGAGTGACATTTAAGAGGGCAGTCAAATTGCAAAACCTAGCTTGATAATCACATGCTGAATGAAAGTCATCGCTGAGTGCTCTCATTTCTCATTTCTCGTGTCTCCATATCCTGGATCACATGCCAAGGCCATCCACACAAGTTGCACATGACTGCCCACGCACATGCCCATGCATGCCCACACATCCCTCAACAGAACCACCTTCCTTTCTACCTTTACTTCAGCCTTGGCCACCTCTTTCCTGGACTCAGAAACTATAACCACCACCCCGGGCTTAATGTGCCGCCATCAGCCCCATGAATCTATCAGAATGGTCTTCAATGTCTATCCCCCTGACCATGCTGCTTTAGTCTCTAGGGCCTTGCTGTCATGTGGGTAAATTCCAAGGTCCCTCCTGGACTTTGAAGCTCTTTCTCAGGGATCAACTCTCCCCACACCCTAGGGCATGCTCAGGGACATCTCTTCAAATGTCCCTTGATTTGCTTTCCCCTCTCTTGCCTAGGAGACATCCCCAGAGCTGGTGCTGCATATCAGAAAAGCTTCCTGCGATAGGGTGTCTGGGTGGCTCAATTGGCTAAGTGTCCAACTTTGGCTAAGGTCATGATCTCACGGTCTGTGAGTTCGAGCCCCACATCAGGTTCTGTGCTGACAGCTCGGAGCCTGGAGCCTGCTTCGTATTCTGTCTCCCTCTCTCTCTGCCCCTCCCCTGCTCATGTTCTGTCTCTCTGTTGCTCTTTCTCTCAAAAAATAAATATTAAACATTAAAAAGAAAAAAGCTTCCAGCCTGCTGCCCTGCCAGATGTCTGTTTATTGTCATCTAAATAGCTCTCGGAAAGTCTATTTTCTCAAAGTTTTTTTTTTTTTTTTTTTTTTTTTTTTTTTTCTCCTGGGTTGATGAGAAGGTGCCCCTTTCTCTTTCTTGTTCTGTCAGATTGGATATAGTGCTTCTAGGGCCTCTGGCTCTCCTGGTCTTCACTTCTTGCCCTTAATTTTAAAATTTATTTACCACGACTCCTCCTCTGATGAATACACCTCATATTATAGTCAAGAATTGACTGGTTATTTATATTCTGTATACTAGACAGTTGGGCAAAGAGATTTATTCAGAATGTAGGCTGTGGAGCCAGATTGCCTGGGTTCAAATGCTCACTGTCCCACTTACCCTGTATGTGACTTAATCTCTCTGCTTCAGTTTCTTTATCTCAAAACGGGGATAGTAAATGTACCTGCTCACAGTGTTTTGAGCATTCAATTGTTCATTACATGTAAAGTACCTGGATTAGTATCTGTGGCACATAGTAGGTGCTTAATAAAGTTAGCCACTAGTATTTTGCTTCTTCCTTTTTGCTTGCTGGTCTAATTTCCAGGCATATTAAATGGTCCATCAAGACAATGTTATTTCCATTAGCAACGTTATTCATTTAAGAATTTAAAAAAGCAATTTTGAGAACCTTCATCAGGTGCTGTGCTGGGGCTACAAAGATGAATAGGTCACTGTCCCTGCCTTCCCGCCTTTAAGGAACTGGGAGGTTGGTAAGGAAGCCAGTGTGGGAAGAGGGACCCCTGAGGGCCTCAGCAGGAAGTTAGGCAGAGTCTTTCTGGTGACAGGAGTTTCTGTGGAAAGAAGATAGGAAGGGTGGTCCAGGAAGAGGGAAAGACTAGGGGCTTAGAGAAGCCAACAGTGTTCAGGAAGCAGTGAGTCTTCCACGGGGCTGGGGACATGATGGGATCAGGCCGGGCTTTTTCTTGAGGTTGATGAGAAGCATGTGTGCGTTGCAGGAAGTGGGGGGGGGGGGACATCAGGCAGACAAGCGACATCATCAGATCTGTAAACTAATGAAGGGCTTTCTAAAGCATTTAGGGAAATTCATAAGGAGGACAGAGAGGGGAATGTAAGGCCAGAAAAGGCTAGTAGCAGCAGGCAAGGGAGAGAGAGAGAAAGGTGCTGTAGGAACCCGGGGAGGACAGTAAAGAACCGGCATGAGCCTCCCCAGCCGTCAAATGAGGAATGACAGCCAAAAAGGCCATTTGATGAAGGAGATAGGAGCCATGGTGACCTTACTAAGGGTAGATTTTGTGTTGAAGACTGGATGTACAAAGGGAACATGTACAGCCAAGGAAATCATTCCTTCAGTATGTCTGGCAGAGCCAGGAAAGAGAGGCATTGCCCAGGAGAGTAGGGGTAAAAGAAGCTACCTTCTGCCTAGTGAGAAAGCCCTTTCCTCCCTGAAAGCCTACTTACTCTCCGGTTGTTACACTTCAAAACTGTGTAGAATTTATCTTCGGCCATATCCTGATTCGGAAGTGCTATGACAATGGCAGGGACATAGAAGTCAAATCCGTTGGGTATCACAATTTTGGCAAAGACATAATCTCCAACCTGTAGATGAGAACATTATGCCATAGCAAATATTTTAAAATACCCGAAGATGGTGAGCAAGTATTGATGCTACAATTCAAACACATATTTTTTTCTCTACTAAGAAAGAATCAATGGTTTCAAACTTCTCCAGGCTCACTGGGCCACACCCAGAATTCTGTGATCAGTTTGGGGGAGCCCCATTTTAGCAGGACTTCTTCACCTGACAAGGATCCTGGGGATGGCCAGCAAGATGCAAGATGGCCAGAGGTCTGGAAACCATATCCTACAAAGACTGGTTAAAGTAACCTATTTCACATAAAGACAAGGAGGGATACAAACAGTGTCCTCATTGATCTGAAGGGCCCTCACCAAAAGGAAAGGAGGTTTGTTTAATGTTGCCCCCAAGCACACGCCTGGAATCCATGGGCAAAAGTTACAAAGAGACAGCTTCTGGAAGAAGGGAAATCTTGTGAAGGGGCATGCAGAGGCTGCTGGGCACTTGTCAGATGGACAGGACCATCTGTCAGGGACAGAGTGCACCGACAGGCGCTCTGGGTCAGCTCAGGGAGGTGGCAGCAGACAACCAACATGGAATCCTGGGAGTGCTCACGGCGCTTTTCCTCCCAGCTCCCCGTCCAAGGAATGGCAGTGGTGGAAGTCTGGGAGGCTGTCGGTCTACTCTCTGGCCTGGGCACTGAGATGCAGGTAGTGGCAGGAGGATGGGACAGAGGCTGCACAGCTTTTATGAATTCATATGCAGAGGAGAGCACATCAGCCCAGCTCACCTGTGGAATGCATGTTCAGGTGTAAATGCATTATGGTATCAAGGTCTGGCATTAACTGACTACAATGTCAAGGAAAGTGCTACTTCTGCCCTTGTTATTAAATCTGTTTTAATATAATCTTTTGCAGTTAAAAGTTTCAAAGGCAGTTGTTGGGGCACCTGGGTGGCTCAGTCAGTTAAGCGTCTGACTCTTGATTTCGGCTCAGGTTGTGATCTTGCAGTTCATGAGTTCGAGCCCCGCATCGGGCTCTGCACTGAGGCAGAGCCTGCTTGGGATTTTCTCCATCTCTCTCTGCCCCTTCACCACTTGCACGTGCACTTTTTCTCTCAAAATAAATAAACTAAAAAAATAATAAAATAAAGTTTTAAGGGAGTTAGCAGTTATAGCAACTCCCTTCCACAACCATCTTCTGTAAAGTGACAAGGGCCACAGGTGCTAATGCAAGCCAGTCTGTGCAGTCATGAGACTACCCAATAGAGGGTTAGCAGATGAAAGTGGAGCAAGAAGGTCACCAGGCAAGAGGCCAGAGGAACAGGGGCCACTGCTTTTCCTGCTCAAACTCAAGCTCCCAAGAGGAGCCCAACCAGATGTTTAGCAAAGGCCCAGCAGTGGCCTCACCATCCCATTATCCACAACTGTGGGGATGGTGGAAAGTGCCCCCGGAGAAGATCGCTGTAGCAGGTACCTGGAGCAGCGGGCAGGGCATGGCACCCCCGACAGGCGTGATGAATGAGGTCGGCACAACCTTGGTGTCTCCATACCTGAAGCCCACCAGTGCATGGGTGGGGCTCACACACTTCTTCACAACCCCTGAAAGGAATCAGATTTAAAATATAAAGACAAATGATGCCTATTTCCTTAGGCTCACCCCATCTTGGCAATCCCAGTCATCTTCCTTGGATACAAGTCGCACCCGCACCCCCACCTCAGCCAGAGGGCTCTCCTGTACTTAGGCTGGAGAAAAGGGAATGTGCCCTTGTTGAGGCCCTCAGCAAAAATGTGGCCCATTCTCAGCGGTCAGAAGACTGCAGAAATACTCCAAGTAGGTAGGTCAGTTCATGGGGTGAAAGACGCAGGAGTAGTTCTCAATCTTTACTCCAAACAGGAATTGCTCTGGCTGGAGACTGGATCTTTTTACCTTTGGCTGTAAGAACTTTCTCATATTCACAGCCCAGCTTAAATTCCATCTCCTGAAAAAAGGCTTTAGCTTTGCTTCACCAAAAGCAGCCCCTCTACCTGCCCCACTCCCCTGAAAGTCATCTTGCACACCTATTCGTCATATTCTCTCCTTCCTTCAGCCTTAGGTTTCTTTCTTGTCCCCTGTGCTAATTCTTGCCCTTATGAATTTCTGCTAAGGTTTCTAAATGGCTGTTAAAGTTTTAAAATTGCAAGCAGCTCCCTTGATGCCCAGGAGAAGACAGGAGTTGTTTCTATCTCCTAAGAGAAGCTTTCACATGGGATGACACAAAAACTCCTTACACACACTTGACACTTCCCAATTCAGAAAATACTGTACATTACCATATGTAAAAATTTTTTTAAATGTTTGTTTATTTTTGAGAGAGAGGGGGAGGGAGAGAGAGAGTGGGGGAGGAGCAGAGAGAGAGGGAGACACAGAATCCGAAGTAGGCTCCAGGCTCTGAGCCGTCAGCACAGAACCAATGTGGGGCTCAAACTCATGAACCATGAGACCATGAGCTGAAGTCGGATGCTTAATCAACTGAGCCACCCAGGAACCCCTGTACATGACCATATTTAATCTACATAACAACCTTATAGGGATTCTAATTGTTTTAAATCTCATTCAGAAAGATAAAGATAAACTGAGGCTCAGAGAACTTCAGTCATTCCAGTCACATGGCTACTAGAGGAGAAAGGCAGACTTCAAATAAATAAAAACTTGGAATTTTCTGACCCTAAATCATTATACCTGAGAAGGTATTCAGGTCCCCCCTCCCACCTCTGCCACCTGCTTTTTTCTTCCATTATAACTTGTTTCTCTGGCACAGTGCAGAAAATTTTTGCAACTCAAGACTTTTCATCATCGTGAATTTCCTGAAGTAAATGCTTCTTGAAGGACAGGAAGGATGACCCAGTTCCTGCAAATAGGGACTTAAAATAAGGTATTGAAATGTGTCTTCCTCCTTGCCTTTCATCATGCTGATGAGCCAGGCTATCAGCTTGTCACTTCCATTCTGAACAATGCAGTCATTCCTTAACTAGATAATCCACGCTGACCCTGGGAGAGAGTCAGCCACACAGAAATCCCTGCCCTGATTGCCAAGGACGGCAGCCACAACCAGGCCAGCTCTCCTCCAGGCCAGCTCTGCTCCATCTCCTGGTCTGAAGCAACAGATATTCTGATCCAGTCACTCCAAAGCCACCTACTACTGAGGTACATTTTAAAGCCAGATATTTTCCATTAGAAATGTTTAGCAGGCTTTGAATAGAAGTTCTCAGAAAAGGAGTCACCGATGAATATCATGCTTGTGCTCCACAAACCTCTATTTGGCCTTTTTTCCAAGGGAGAAATAGTAATGCACGGTGACCAGGTGATCTCAATTAGTGTCATTAATGAGGGCAGACGGACATCATGTGTCTCTGGATGGGACGCCCTAGCAATCTGTCCAGAAATACACACTCTGAGTCTAAGCTATCTGCAGAACATTCTATAAAGTAATTGACCTTACTCAACATCAGTATCATGAAAAATGATAGGAAAGGCTGGAAAATAATTCCAGATTAAAGAAGACTAAGGAGACATGTTAATTAAATGGAATACATGATTCTGTACTGGGCCTATTCTAGAGACAAAAAATATAAAGCCAGAATTGGGACAGTTAACAAAATTGAAATATACAGATAAAAAGTACTATAATAATGTTAAATTTTCTGAATCTTGTAACTTTATTATGATTATGTTAAGAGAGTACCCTTGTTCTTGAGAAATACAGACTGATGCATTAAGGGGTAATGGGGCACAACGATGTTGCCTAATCTCAAATAGTTCAGAAAAATAATGTGTATGTGTTGAGATAAGTAGAGAGAAAGAAAGGGAATAAAATAAAATAATAAATGTGGTAAAATAAACATGACAAAATTAAAAATTGGCAAATCTGGGTAAAGAGTATACAAAAGTTCTCTATTCTTGCAACTTTTCTTTAAGTCTGAAATTATTTTTTTAAGTCTATGATGGTAGGGATTAAGTCTATGATGGTAGGGTTGAAATTCCTGATTAAAGATTCATTGAGGGGAGAGGGAACAAAAGCTAAGTACATCCAGTAACACATGCATTAGCATTTAATTGTCTGAGTCAGTGTTTACTAACAAGCCACTAATAGAAATGACTGATTATACGAGTAATGTATTTCCTCCAAACTGTCTTACTTGAGTTTAAACACAGCTGCAAATGAAAAATTCTGGAATAGCCAGATCCCATGCAACTGTTAGGGGGTCTGTGCTCTCTGCCTCTAATTGCACATTTAAAACAAAACAAAACAAAACAAAATAAAACAAAACAAAACAGGGCAATAATCATTGCTGACATGATCTCAGGTATTGCATGTGGCCCTGGTTATACCTGTTTCCTCTACTTCCCCACCTTGGCAGCAGTAGGTCTCTGGCATTTCTTGTCACACAGGGATGGTGCCAAGTGAAAGTTTGAGCCATTCTACTTTTCTCCAGAACCCTGGCCAGCAAATTGATACCAAGCCCTAATGCAGCCATTTGGAATTTAGTCCTTTCCTGCATTTCCATTCAACTGCCAAATTAGTCTCTGACCCCTCTCTAGGGCTCCAATTCAGAAAACCAAGTAAGGGTAGCTCTGTGTAATCCTCACCTCGCAAATCTGGGTCCCAAGGAAACAGAAGGTTTTCAGACCCTGCTCTTGCAAACAAGAGTTTCACGCCTTGGCTTATATGCTCATCTCAAATGCTCAGATCTGTCTCATCCAGTCAACTCCAAAGCACATTCAGCAAATTTCAAATAAAATATCCTAGCTGTCAGTTCTCCACACATGCCTACCAAAAACTAAAACTCCTGCTAAAGTATTCTTCCCATTAAAAAGATTTAATTAAATTTCATTAATAAAGGATGATTCTTTTCACTGGTGATTGACAGATAATGCCTATGCAAGACTGGCTATGTTTCTGTGATATCATCTTCTTGCCCCATGGATCTTCCTAGGACTCTTTCCCTAAGCTCTCTTTTCCCTTATAGGCCCTTACATGATATCAATGACACTTATGTGTTGATGTCTCAAAAATCTCTATCTCCAGACAGATTTCCTCTTGAGACTCTAGGCCCTTATCTCTAATTGCTTTTCTGACAACTTCAGCATTGCAAGCATTTGGAGATAGGGGCCTAGAGTCTCAAGAAGGAAATCTGTCTGGAGACAGATATTTTTGAGACATCAACACATAAGTAGTGTACCTACAATTCATCATGTTCCAGACACATCATTGTCTTCCAGTCCTTACCAACATCTCATGTAGGTACCACTATCTACCACATGGCCCAAACCAACCCACTCCATATCTACTCTTTACACAACAATGGGAGAGAGCTTTTGTGAACTTCAAGCATGACTATGTTTTTCCTTGCTTTAAATGTGGCTGTCCAGTAAAATCCAAACTTCTTAACATAACCTTTTATGAATGGCCTCATACTTACCTCTCTGAAGACCTTTATTATTTCCTATCTTTCTTTGCATTCTAGGTTCCAGCCATACTCTGCTTTATTTCGCCAGATATAAAATGCTTTTCTCCACCTCTAGATACATATTATTTTCACTGTCTACAAAGCTCTCACTTGAAAGTCACCTGGCTGATTCCTTCAGGATCACATGTCCCAGGAAATGCTTGGGAAAAGCTCTCAGGTTCAGCCACACTGGCCTCTTCCACCAATATGCACTCCAGCCTCAGGACTTTGCAGTGCTATTCCTTCTGCTCAGAACTCCCTCCCCCGAGATAATTTAATGACTTGCCTCTCCTTCTTTAAGTGTTACTCATACATCATTTTCCCTAGAAGCTCTTCATTGACCACCATATTTGAAATTGCAGCCTTTACCTTGACACTCTCAATTCCCTTTGTAGCTTGATTTTTCTCTACAGCACTATATCTGACACACTACACACTGCATTTATTTGCTTGCTTGTCTGTGTCTCTCAGTAGAATGTAAACTCCATGAAGACAAGAATTTTCGTCTGCTTGCTGACTATGTGAGACCAACACTTTAGGAATATTACATACATAGAACATAACAGATGTATAGTAAAAGTTTTTACTAAACAAATTAAAGATGAAATATATTTTCTGGCTATTTCCCCCCCTACAAATATAAGTAGAAACCCATCATCATTTCATTTTAGAAATAGAATATCTTAGTACAGCTTATGAAATGTAGTATTCTAGGGAAAGCACAGTTTAAGAACCTCAGGTCCCTAATATCATATTAGTTAACAAAAAAATCTTACAAAATAGATTATCTACCTGGAAAATAAAAGCCATTTTCATCACATCTTGCAATAACTTTCTGGCCTTTGAGAGGATCCAATTTTTTTGATTTGATTTTATTTGTTGGATTTCCTGGAGATTTCTGTTGCTAAAAAATATAAAGCATTAATAATTGATTTAAAAAGTCAACACAGACAGTGAAAATCACAGATACAGGGTAGTCTGGGATTCTCTACTGAGAATTGCACTATCAAAAATTAGAGAATATACATATACTTTGTATAATCATTCTGGAGTACTTCCTGTTCTATGATATTGGGAATAAGCTTTTAAAATTGAATTGATGGGGTGCCTGGGTGGCTTAGTTAAGCGTCTGACTTCAGCTCAGGTTATGATCTCATGGCTTGTGAGTTTGAGCCCCATGTCGGGCTCTGTGCTGACAGCTGGGAGCCTGGAGCCTGCTTAGGATTCTGTGTCTCCCTCTCTCTGCACCTCCCTTGCTCACACTCTGTCTCTCTCTCTCTCAAAAATAAATAAACATTAAAAAAATTTTTAAATAAAATAAAATTGAACTGATATATGGGAACCAGTGTTCCCATCTACCACATGGCCCAAATTCTGCAGCCTAAGACTAATCAAAATGTTAACACATAAAAAAAGTCAACATTTTCCAGAGAATTTAAGCAGGATCCATGGTCTTAAAACATAATATTCAGTATATACAGATACAATCCAGAATACAACATACTTTTATTTATTTATTTATTTATTTATTTATTTATTTATTTATTTATTTATGTATACTTATTTTAACATTTATTCATTTTTGAGAGACAGAGACAGAGCACAGGTGGGGAAGGGGCAGAGAGAGAGAGAGAGAGACAGAGAGACAGAGACAGAGAGACAGAATCTGAAGCAGGCTCCAGGCTCTGAGCTGTTGGCACAGAGCCTGATGTGGGGCTAAAACCCACAAACCATGAGATCATGATCTGAGCTGAAGCTGGATGCTCAACTGACTAAAAGACCCAGGCGCCTCTGCAACACACTTTTAAAAAGCAAGCAGGGGCACCTGGGTGTCTCAGTCGGTTAAGAAGCCGACTTCAGCTCAGATCATGATCTCATGGTCTGTGAGTTCGAGCCCACGTCAGGCTCTGTGCCGACAGCTCAGAGCTTGGAGCCTACTTCAGATTCTGTGTCTCCCTCTCTTCCTGCCCCTCCCCCACTTGCTCGCTCGCTTTCTCTCTCTCTCTCTCTCAAAACTAAGATAAAAGCATAAAAAAAGGTTTTAAAAAGCAAATATGACTGATTTTCAAGTTAAAAGGTGATCAATAGGTCACAATCCTGAGATGACCCAGGTGTTAGACTAATCAGATAAAGACTTTAAATCTGCAGTTATAACCATGGTCCATGAGGTTGAATTCTTGAAATGAATGGGAAGGTAGTTGTTTTCAGCAGAGAAATAGAAACTATTTTTAAAAAATTAAAAATTTTAGGAGTAAAAAACCACAATATTTGGAAGGGCTCAATAGCAGAATTGATATGACAGAAAAAAGAAACTTGAAGATGAATCAACAGAAATGATCTAATCTGAAGAATACAGAAGAAAAAGACTTTTATTTTTTTATTTATTAATTTTTTGAGAAAAAATATTTTTAAAAAATGAGCAACATCCTTCCTGTTCAGATAACTCATTCAAAGCCCAGCTCAATTATAATCTCTCTGGGAAAATTTTACCACAGGCAATTTCAGAAAAAGTAAAGGAAAGGACCACTTTGTAATGTTGAAATGGTACCGTATGACTCAAGACTTGAAGTGAATGTCATGCTGTGTCCACTACACGAAGAAACTGGCAGCATCATTTTGATTTGTAGAGTCTAATTTTAAAATCCTGTTTTCTATATGCTTGTTGACTGATCACTAGTAGAAAGACCCAGTCCCCACTATATCCTCCACTCCCCCAAACCCCAAAGCCCTCATTACATCAACCAGAACAGTCATTATGCTTTACTTCCAATAAATTTTAGAACCAGTGCTCCTGTAAAATAAATTTAAAATGAATTATTAGAAAACAAGATTTAAAAAACAGACATGCAGCATTTGAGTTTCTAGGTAAGATCTATTTTATCATTCTGGAAGGCAAATAACAAATGGCTTGGGAAAGAAGACTTAAATTCAAAGTACTAACAGACTGGTGAGAAATTTACCATTTTTTTCCTTGGTATTTCATGGCCTGATCACAAGGCCGCCCAAAACACAACAGTGGCACCAGGCTGCAGACAGAGGGCTCTAGGAGAAGCCCTGTAGTTCTGGCTTAATGGGAAAAGGAACTCCTAACACTCACAAAAATTATAGAAATCCCCTTGTCTTCTTCTCAGACCCCAGTCCACAAGCAGTCCTGTGGTAGGGGCATCAGTGTTGGCAGTGTGAGTCCAAAGGAGCTAAATCTCTGAAGGAGGGGAATCTTCTTGTCTGGTTAGTGGTGCTAGGTTCCAAGAGGGTGAGTGAACCCCGGTGTTCTCTCTCTCTTTCTCTTTCCCTGGCCCCTGTTTGGCTCCAGATGCAAGTAAGTGGAGGCATGCAGCTGAGCTGAGAACATAAAACCTTAGGTTCTGGCTGGAGGACTGGAAAGAGGAACCCCAGGAAATCAGAAATTACCAGGAAGATCATTTATATTACAAGAGGGAAGGCCAAGTATTACCCCAATCCCAAACCAAAGCTACCATAGAAAAGGAAACTATGAACCTACATACTCCTCTTGAATATAGATGTAAAAAATCTGTAAGAAACTATTCGCAAGTAAATCCAGCAACATACAAAAAGGACTGTACATGATTACCAAGCATCCTAGGAATGTAAACCTGTTTTAACATCCACAAATCAATTAATGTGATACACCATATTAATAGAATAAAGGATAAAGCCATATTGTTAAATGTATGGAGAAAGAGTAGTTGACAAAACCCAACACCTTTCATGATGAAGACTCCCAACAAACTAGGAACAGAAGGGAACTTTCTCAACTCAGTGAAAATCATCTATGAAAAGCCTACAGCAAACATTATCCTTAATGATGAAAACCCTTAAGATCAGAAACAAGGCAAGGCACTCTGCCCCTCCTACACATTGTACTTGAGCTTCTGGCGAGTACAATCAGGTCAAGGAAAGAATAAAGGCATCCAGGTTGGAAAGGAATAAATAAAACTGTCTTTATTCATGAATGCTATGATCTTCTACATGGCAAACTCTAAGGAATCCACCCAGCTACTACCAGAATTAATTAACAAGCTCAGCAGGATGTCATGATACAAGATAGATCTACAAAAACAAACCAACTGTATTTCCATGTACCAGCTATGAATATCTTAAAATAAAGCTAAGAAAAGAATTCCAAGGGGCCCTTGGGTGGCTCAGTTGGCTAAGTGTGTGACTTCTGTGCAGGTCAAGATCATGTGATCTGTGAGTTGGAGCCCTGCATTGCGCTGCTTGCTGACAGCTCAGAGCCCGGAGCCTGCTTCTGATTCTGTGTCTCCCTCTCTCTCTGTCCCTCCCCCACTTGTGCCCTGTCTCTCTCAAGAAAAGAAAAGAAAAGAAAAGAAAAGAGAAGAAAAAAGGGAAAAGAAAAGAAAACCAAGGGGCACCTGAGTGCCTCAGTTGGTCAAAGGTCCAAATTCAGCTCAGGTCATGATCTTGCAGTTCATGAATTTGAGCCCTTGTGACAGCCTCTTGTGCTGCCAGTTTAGAGCCTGGAGTCTGCTTTAGATTCTGTGTCTCCCTCTCTCTCTGCCCCTTCCCTGCTCACACTGTCTCTCTCCAAAAATAAATAAACATTAAAAAAATTAAAAAAAAAGAGTTTCATTTATAACAGTATCAAAAAGAACAGATATTTAGGAATAAACATCAAAATAAGTGAAAGAACTATACAATGAAAACTAGAAAAGATTGCTGAGAGAAATGAAAGATCTAACAATTGGAGTGACATATCATGTTTATTATGGATTGGAAAATTTGATATAGTTAAGACAGCTATTTTTCCCAAACTGATCTCTAGATCCAATATAACTCACATCAAAATCTCAGTAAGTTTTTTGTTTTCTGGGTTTTCTTGCAGAAATTGAGATACTGAAACTAAAAGTGCCAAAATGATTTGGAAAAAAGAACAAACCTGTAGGATGTACACTTCTTGATTTCCAAACTTATTATCAGAAAGCGTAATCAAGAAAGTGCAGTACTGACATGAAGATAGTCCTATGGCCATGAGAACAGTATTGAGAATCCAGAAACAAATCATTACATTCGTGGTCAATTGATTTTTAACACTTTGGGGAAAATTTTTGCAACTTCTCTAAAAATTAAACATAAATTTACTATATGCCCCAGATATACCACTATTAGATATCTAGCCGAGGGAAATGAAAACTTTTATCACACAAAGACTTTTATGTATTTGTATCAGCATTATGCACAATAATGAAAAAGTGTAAATAATGCAAATGTTGATTAACAGGGGAAATGGATAAACAAAATGTCACATATCCATACAATGAAATATTATTGAGCCACTTATACATAAAACGTACAGAAAAGGCAAATATATAGAGACAGAAATTGATGCGTGGTTACCTGGGGCTGGGGGTGCAAACAGAGACTGAGTGCAAATGGGCATGAGGTATCTTTCTGGGGTGATGCATGTGTTCTGAAACTGGATTTTGGTGGTGGTAGTTGACAGCTGTCAGTTTTACTAAAAATCACTTAATTGAAATAGGTAAACTTTACAGTGTGAACATCGTATTTCCATAAACCTGTGGGTTTTTTTTTAAAGGTAAAAATAGATAGCTGTTTACTTTTGGTTTGCTCTATGTAACTATTCACGGTATTTTGCATGCAGTGGGGGTGAATGAGTGAATGAGCACAGAACCTTCTGAATCTACTCTTAAATCAAAACATAGACCAAATAGGTCTTTTTCTTCAAATCACCACATTGTGGAAACTGGGGACTTTTTTCCTTAGATTTTTTTTTCATTTTTAAATTTCCTGACCATTAACTTATTAATTCTTGGGTCCTCCATCCTAATCAGAGTGCCCGTGACATCACTCTCCAGCTTCTCTTTGCAGGCCATCAAAATGTCCCTTTCCTTCATGATACAAAGC